TCTCTAACAGCAGACTGGTAGAATATCTCTAACAGCAGACTGGTAGAAGATCTCCAACAACAGCCTGGTAGAAGATCTCTAACAGCAGACTGGTAGAAGATATCTAACAGCAGACTGGTAGAATATCTCTAACAGCAGACTGGTAGAATATCTCTAACAGCAGACTGGCAGAAGATCTCTAACAGCAGACTGGTAGAATATCTCTAACAGCAGACTGGTAGAATATCTCTAACAGCAGACTGGTAGAAGATCTCAAACAACAGCCTGGTAGAAGATCTCTAACTGCAGACTGGTAGAAGATCTCTAACAGCAGACTGGTAGAAGATCTCTAACAGCAGACTGGTAGAAGATCTCCAACCGCAGACTGGTAGAAGATCTCCAACCGCAGACTGGTAGAAGATCTCCAACCGCAGACTGGTAGAAGATCTCCAACCACAGACTGGTAGAAGATCTCTAACAACAGATTGGTAGAAGATCTCTAACAGCAGACCAGTAGAATATCTCCAACCACAGACTGGTAGAAGATCTCCAGCCACAGACTGGTAGAAGATCTCTAACAACAGACTGGTAGAAGATCAGATCACCAACCAAAGACTGGTAGAAGATCTCCAACATCTTGCTGCACACGTTGAAGGATCTCAGCTTCCTCAGAAAATAGAGTCTGCTCATCCCCTTCTCGTACAGCGTCAGTGTTGATCCTCCAGTTCAGTCCATTGTCTAAGTGCACTCCCAGGTACTTGTAGTCCTCCACCACAACAACACCCTCTCCCAGAATGCACAGTGGAGACGTCCTCTTCCTCCTGAAGTCAATAGAGAGGCGAAGTCCCTCCCTTTCCGGTGGATCTCCATGGGACCCTATTTCGGAAAAAGTATGTATTGAAGTCAATGGCTAGAGAAAAGTTCTTGTTCGATCCTGTTTGAATTGTGCCACGAATTACACATATGATATTTGTCAATTTATTTATTTTAGTTTTGGTGTAAAACTGTGAAGTAAGACTTTTTTTGTGTAAAACCGCTCAATGAACTACATCTATGGTCTCGCGCAACAACACACGTCACCAAGATGCCCGTCACTACTGTCTTGCCAAAAAAGGGATTGTCTACCCTGTAATGCTAACTAACGTGCTAGCTACTAGCTAGGTAGCTAACTTGATCCAGCCACTCCTGGTCCTTTCATCAGACGGGAAGCGAAAGAACGAGCAAGACCCATTGCTGGTATGATAACAACCTGGTACTAAGCACACAGGCATCTTGTTAAAGTTATCTTATCTTAGCCATCTCTTATAATTAGTGGAGGAAAACAATTGTGACATCAGTTATGACATCACTTACACGACTGGGATTTGTAGTCTTTCTAGTTGCGTATTTATCGTAGTCTTATATTTCAACAGTTTTACGACAAACTGTGACTTTTTTTTGTTTAAGATTGACAAACATCATATGTGTAATTCATGGCACAATTAAAACGGGATCGAAAGATACGTTTTCTCTCGCCATTGACTTCAATACATAATTTTTCAGAAATAAGGTCCCATGAGGTCCACCGGAAAGGGAGGGACTTTGCCTCTCTATTACCATCTCTCTGGTCTTGGCCACATTAAGAAGCAGATTATGTATTCCAGTCCTCTCCACAAAATCACCCACCATGCTCTGTACTCCTCACCTGTCCATCCCTGAAACACCCTACCACTGCAGAGTCATCCAAAAACTTCTGCAGCTGGCAAGACTCTGAGTTGTATTCAAAGTCAGTGTTTATAAGGTCAACAGGAAAGGAGACAGCACAGTCCCCTGTGGGGCTCCTTACTACCAACCAACCAACCAAACAACCATAACGTTACCTACTGATGTTTCCATATACATACAGTTGCAAGAAAAAGTATGTGAACCCTTTGGAATTACCTGGATTTCTGCATAAATTGGTCATAAAATGTGTTCTGATCTTTATCTAAGTCACAACAATAGACAAACACAGTCTGCTTAAACTAATACCACATAAACAATTATATGTTTTCATGTTTTTATTGAACACACCATGTAAACATTCACAGTGCAGGGTGGAAAAGGTATGTGAACCCCTAGGCCAGGGATCACCAACTACATTTGTCCAAGGGCCAAAATGTGTCCAATAGACACTATCGCGGGCCAGCGATTTTTATATAGCCCAGAAAGGGGGGGGGGAGCTAGTGGAGCACGCTCAGGTAGTGTGGACCGCATAAAGCTAGCAGACTCTTCACGCTAACGAAGGATCACTTCTAGGCAGGGTTGGGAGGGTTACTTTGTAAATGTAATCAGTTACTGAATACATACTCTGAAAGTATCAGAATACAGTTACGTATTCAGATTACTTTTAGAATACTTTTGGAATACCTTCTTTTTCCATAACAGATGGGTATGTTTTGGTGAACAGGAGACACGTATTTGACTGTTTTAATGGCTTATCAAGAACTCAAACACAACATCTTGGCGTCATTCTGGACAGCTCCCTCTCATCTCCACCCCACATCAAAAACATCACCCGGATTGCATTCTTTGTACTGTCTTAAAACCTTTCCTTTGAATATGTTATGAATTGTAAGGTGTCCTTGGGTGCTTTGAAAGGCGCCCCTAAATAGAATGAATTATCATTATTATTATCTGAAACGATGTAATAACTTTTCCCAGTCACTTGCCCCATGCATTCAGCAGCAACAGGGCATTCACTTTGATTTGATCCCGTTATGAAATGTCATAATTTCGACAATAAAGAAATGCTACATAAACGTTATCTTGCACATTTTATCCAACCATCTCCGTTTCTAACTTTCAATATATTTTAAGAGATCTCTCTCTCATCTGCGTGCGGGGGCGGGGCCTCACCGACGCTGCATCTCTCTCTCGCTCACAGACATGTTGCAGCGCCGTGCAGTGTGCACACAGTTCTGCCGGTAATGAATATTACATTTTGTGAGGAAACTTTTCCACCAATAATTCCAATAAGTATTCACTTCAGGTTTACGAAAGTAACTTTAATCAGATTACTCGTTTTTCAAATGTAACGCCAGCTGAATACAGTTAGCCTACTTGATTTTTGTATTCTGATTACGTAACGCCGTTACATGTATTCCGTTACAACCCAACCCTGCTTCTAGGCTACTGTCCCGCAGCTCCTGCCTCTCTGTTGGACTCTGTCGCAGCGGGGCTACTGCTGTGGTGCGGAGCGCACAAAGCAGACTCTTCACAACGAAGGATCACGTCTTCTTCAAGGCAGGGAAGGTTTCGCAGTACGCAGTCTACTGTCCTGCAGCTGCTGCCTCTCTGTTGGACTCCGGTACTACACCTTACTCACGAGACGTTGTACAAAAAAAAATGGGTGGGGGGCGAACGCAGTAACCACTCCGCCAACGCCACAGTCACCCCCGTCGTGCGGGCCGGATGAGAATGTCTGGCGGGCCGGATGTGGCCCGCGGGCCGCCAGTTGGTGGTCACTGCCCTAGGCTAAAGACTTCTTCAAGAGCTAATTGGAGTCAGGAGTCAGCCAACCTGGAGTCCAATCAATGAGACGAGATTGGAGGTGTTGGTTAAAGCTGCCCTGCCCTATAAAAAATACACACCAGTTTTGAATTTGATATTCTTAAGAAGCATTGCCAGATGTGAACCATGCCTCGCACAAAAGAGCTCTCAGAAGACCTACCATTAAGAATAGTTGACTTGCATAAAGCTGGAAAGGGTGCCAAAAGTATCTCTGAAAGCCTTGATGTTCATCAAATTGTCTATAAATGGAGAAAGTTCAGCACTGTTGCTACTCTCCCTAGGAGTGGCCGTCCTGTAAAGATGACTGCAAGAGCACAGCGCAGAATGCTCAATGAGGTGAAGAAGAATCCTAGAGTGTCAGCTAGAGACTTAAAGAAATCTCTGGCACATGCTAACATCTCTGTTGACGAATCTACGATACGTAAAACACTGAACAAGAATGGAGTTCATGGGAGGACACCACGGAGGAAGCCACTGCTGTCCAGAAAAAACATTGCTGCACGTTTGAAGTTTGCAAAAGAGCACCTGGATGTTCCACAGCACTACTGGCAAAATATTCTGTGGACAGATGAAACCAAAGTTGAGTTGTTTGGAAGGAACACACAACGCTATGTGTGGAGAATCCAAAGGGTTCACATACTTTTTCTTGCAACTGTATAAACACTAGGAACTAGAACTCTAAAACAATGTTTTAACTAAAATGCCCAATTTCACTGTGTATGATCCTTAAATGACACTATTCAATGGAATAATGAGCACAGATTTGAACCATTCTGGATACAAATGCATTAAGAACCATCTGAGTATGTCATCATCAGGACCTTAAATAACTGAAATAATACAATTTAATAGCCAATAGTCTCTCTTCCTGACAAACTCATATCACTATTGTGATATAAACGTACTTATAATGCATTATCATTTGCTAGTACTGTAGCAGTGCTGTAGACAGGCAGTATGTAGAAGCCTTTGATTTGCTTGGAAGAACTGCACGTTTGTATCAGTGTGTTATGATAATCCACTAAGAATAAAGGCTTTTTAATATGTCCTACATACATTGAGAATGTGTTTATTGTTCTCATAAGCTTTGACCTTTCAACACTTAGCCCCTAGGGCTACGTAACAATTGATTCTGAAAGCTGATACCAACACCACTTAAAAGATCTCCCTGCTGATACCTCTTTTATCATGGCGTGGCAGAAGAAACCAGACATGTCATCATCTTCTGATCCCACACTCTCTAAAGAAAACAACCATTTATTAGACTTATCTTTTTTCACTGACACTGTTACACTATTTCTGCTGCCTGTGCTACTTCTTTAATGAGTTATGTTACTTCTACTACTTCTAGGCCCAACTTCTTTCAACTATTACTGTGTAGTGATGCTGCAGTACTGCTGCTTCTACTACTGTTACTGCTGCGGCTGAACCATGATATTCGTCCTGATAGAGATGATCCGACGTACACCCAGAGTGATGTTAGCACTTACCTCCATGGAGGCTGTCTCGTGCTTCCTCTGCAGAACCTCATACTCCTGCAGGGCTGTAGGGAGGAGAGGATACCAGTAAGCCATGTTCACCAGTAACTCACTATAAAGCAAATATCAGTGAAGACCACACACACTCACATCCTGCAGTTTAAAATAGGACAACACATGGGGACTTCTCCATCATGTGATAACTTCTCATTCAGTGACTTATAGCAGGGATGTAGAATATAGAAACACGGGCTGAGTGAGCCTTGGGTGTAACTACAATAGTAAAGGGAGTTGCCTTCTCTCAAACATTTACAATCACATGTGTATTTCTACGATACATGTGTCTTATAAGTAATAAGTATAAGTGTTTTATTTGTTAGACTGTACCAATAGAGGTATAGGGTTTTTCCTGTTCTTCTATCACAGGGGTTCTACTGTAACTGACCTTTGTTTGATCTAGCATATATGACCCTCACACTCTGACACACACTGCTGATGTTCAGCTGTCATGAAGCCTGTACCAGGCAGTTAGAACACACTTCTGCAAAGAGGTAACGTTATTTTCCCATGGAACAACACGTGTTAATCAGTAACCAACTTCAGTCTCTACTTGAGACATTCAGGAAACACAGAACAAGGATTAGGTTTTTTTGCAATGAGTTAAACTCTGCATCGAGGGCAATGTAAAGGAAGAGTCTGACATGTTGGGATGTACAGTACAAAGCGTACCGGAGATAGATCAGAACATACTTTACCTCATTACATACTATACAGAGTAGTAGGGGTGTAACGGTTCACAAACATTTCGGTTCGGTACGTACCTCGGTTTTTTGGTCACGGTTCGGTTCGGTACGTTTTCGGTACAGCAGAATTTTTTTTCACAAAACATATATATATATTTTTTTATTATTATTATTAAACTGTGAATAATGTATTCACTCAAATAAATACAAAATATAATAAAATAAACATTAAGGTGCAGCATTTCGATGAACTGAAATAATCTGTATTTGAACGGTACTGTACTAGCACCTAAGCAGCCAGTTTGACATTAGGACTTGCTTGTCATTGTATTTTCATGTTTTTTTAAAGAAAAATGAACTTATCCACATTGCTTGCCGAAAGGGCAGATCTGCTGGCACTAACAATGTCTCCTGCTGTGGAGAACACCCTCTCTCTAGGGACAGAGGTAGCAGATACAGCCAGGTAGCGCTTTGCTAACATTGCAACATAAGGATAGTTGGCGTTTGTAATAGCTTTGGCTCGGTCTGAACTCTTTGCGAGTGGTGGAGGCTTAAATGCTAGCGGGAGTTGGGTTTGCACTTCAGTCTTTTTTCTTTTGGTATCGGTGATATTCACGTTCGGGTGATGCCTTTTCAAGAGTGTGCAAGTTTGATGTATTGCCAGCCGCGTAACCAATTTTAGTTGAACAATGCCGACAAACAGCTTTGGTTCAGTCCACCTGTCTTTGTCCGTCATCCTTGTACGTAACTGCGAAACCAAAATGTTCCCAAACCGGAGACTTCAATGATGCTGGAGGATTTTCGAGCTCAACTTTATCTGCGTTCGCCATACATTTTTCACAGTTCCTCAAATTACTGACTACATTTGAACGCATCCCTCTGACCAGCTCTCATAGTATGCCTCTCATCCAATGAAATGACTTGCTCGCTCTATGACGCGTTGAACCCAATGTGAGCAAATTACTCTGAATGCTGCGACGCAGCACCTGAGATTACTTCCAAAAAGTTATTCACGTTCTCAATTTTTTACGTTTAACGTTATATTCGTTCGGTACACTTCGGTACACACCTGTACCGAACCGAAGGGCCCGTACCGAAATTATTCGGTACGGGTACGTGTACCGTTACACCCCTACAGAGTAGAAATAACTGAAAACATCAAAACATGTTGTTCTGAAAGCAGAGTTATAACAGTGGCAGACCTGCCACCCACCCCATTTACCTAGAATACTTCACAAGATGAACAATGTCCTTACAGCTAACCAAATGATATACTGTTGGAACATGCAACATGGAATGCAACATGGAAAATAATGACTTTTGGTGTGAATGCTACAGTATCTTTTCATTACGTATCACCAGAGAACAAGCTGCATTACAGCTTATAATGGAATTAAGAAGTTAAAAACATTTACTCAAATACTGTGAAATCTAATTGCACTTCAGTACTACAGTAGCTCTACCTTGACAGACAAAGACATTGACATTCTGCTCACATTAATGCATGAGTAATGTAAATCATTCATTCACATACGATAACATAACAACAATGACACATTAATATATTTACATGGTTCCATGCCCTGATACACTTTATATCTTTCTTTTTGTTTCTGTCTCGATGCTTCTATATTTACACTTGTGTTAAATCACTTTTGTCCTCTGGTTTTGCAGAAATATTCCAACTACAGGTGAAATGAGAATTAATGTTACACTTTAACTTATGTTATACTGCCAGGGGCCATTCTGCCAGCATCATTTCTGCTCTTACTTTTCCAATTTAACTAGGGCCGGGACTCCATTAAAAAAATTAATCTAATTAATTAGAGGCTTTGTAATTAATTAATCGAAATTAATCGCATTTTTAATCACATATAAATATTTGACCTGAGAACAGTGAGAAGCAATTTTTTTTCCATGGATTTTAGTATACCATTAGGCGCATTTACACCGCAGTACTTTTCCCACAAAGGTTCATGAGAACTTAGTTCATGAGAACTCTTTGAACCTGGGGGTGGATTAGGCAAATGAAGCCGCTGACGTCACTTCTTCTTCTTCTGCTTTAGGTTTACTGGCAGGCCGCAAACCACTTCACGGCGTATACTGCCGCCCAAAGTCCCCGGCCGGAAGTCCCCGGAGTTGGGGACTGGCTTCAGTAGAAGCTGCTGGGAGTCCCAGCAGCTTCTACTAGGATAATAAAATGGCGGCTTCACAAAACTTTTTGGGAGTTTTACGGGGCGTGGTTTGCAATCCGCCCAGCCAATCAGACATTTAGCTATTTTCTCACAAGAGAGCCGTACGAAAGTCCCTGCTCTCTAGCAGCTCTCTGCTCTCTAGCAGGGACTTTCGTGGGGGTAAAAGGTTATCATGAACTAATTTTAGTACCGGCTCTTTTTGGTGTGAACGCGATAAAAGAGGCTAACGTCCACGCTAGCTTCCACGCTAGCTGCTATATGTTTTGCATTGAGGTGATACTTGAGGCTTGATGTGCTGCGGTGATATGCGAATTCCTTTTTGCATAATTTGCACACAACCGTGCTCTTATCGACGCCTCCATCCGTCCGTTTTTTAAAACAACATTTCCCACTGTTGTTCACTGTGGTTTGTTGTTGTCTGAAGTCATGAACGTTAGTTGGTGCTCCAGTATAATCGGTACGCCTGAAACTCATCCAGTGAGAAACGTTCCGCGGTGCAAAAATAAGTGCGATTAAAATGCGTTAATTTTTTTAACGCGTTAATTTTTGTGTAATTAATTAATCTTAATTAACGCGTTAAAGTCCCGGCCCTAAATTTAACACATTTTTCTGGTGTTTCTTATCTACATTGCAGTATTATCATTTGGAAAGCAGGGGGGCCAGCAGCCCTGCCCGGGGATTACAAGGAGTACAAATACTCCTGCCATAGATTACATGGACTTTAAACATGAAAACAAACACTATTGGAAATCAGCAGAAGTTAGTGAACATGGACCACGAGATGCTGCTCCATTTATATCCCGCACCCAATGGTCCCCCGCGTTCCTCCCAAAAGCACCTGACCCCGAATAACAGCTTCATATCTTACTGGTGTAAAAGACGCTTCGTTTATCAAACACACTTTCAAAGAGCAGTGTAGTCTACTTTAACAAACTACCGCTGAACAACTGAACCTTTTACATTTCTTAATAGCGTTGTTTTCTCCCACAGAGAGCGGTGACTGCTTACTGACTCTGTCTCATACTGAATAACGTGTTAGAATGTTAACCATAGACTATAGGCTACAGTAAATTGTGTTAGAATGTGACGGCGGGAAGCTAACTCACCTTGGTTTGACAACTTTGTAATAACATTAATTTTATCCAGCTCTTCAGCAGCCATAGTGGGGAATTATGTAACCAAAGTCCAACAGGAAGTGCTTCCTCGCGACACACCTGTAGACTCCTCGCGCGCGAGCTACACACCTACAGAAGGATTCAAAGGCAAAGCACCTGCACAAGCCCTGACTATGGGCATAGATTTGTCTCGTAATTATTTGTGTGAAGATAAAAATAATTTGTGTGTAAATATGTGATTTGTAAATGTAAAACACCATCCACAAATGCATTGTGGCAACCAGACCCCACGCAGCCAAACATTTCACAATTTGGGATGAATGAAGTATCTATCTATCTAGGACCTATCTATCCATTCATCCATCTAGAATCCAGATAGATAGATAGATAGATACTTCATTCATCTCAAATTGTGAAATGAGTGGAAACAAGTATAAACATAATAACATTAAATACAAATAAAAGCAATAGACAGGAATATATGCATATAGAAAGGACACGATGAATATTATAACATTTAATGTGGCCTTACTGTGAAGGCTAACCTAAATACGGTGCTTTTCTACAGATTACTTTATTACTGCACTGGTAAAGTAAAATTAGGCCGATTAATACAATGTGAAGTGCTTTGTAACTTTGACCCGCTTGACTGAATACACAACAAACAATGAAGAAAGAGTTATCTCGGGACTGCTTCGCGCCACACAAACTAACTGTATCTCTATAACATATTCACAGATCTTATATTTAGCGTATTTGCAGATCCGTTTTACATTTGCAAATGTATTTGTGAGTTTGCAAATCTTTTAAATGCATTTGTGGATGGTGTTTTACATTTACAAATCACATGTTTACACACAAATGATGTTTATGTACACACAAATGAGACAAATCTATGACCTGACCATCCTGTAACACCAATTACTGTAACCGTTTGGGTGCTGTTTCCGCTTAAGTATGTTGCGCTTTATACGATTAAATAAAGATACACAATACAATTTGCAAAAGTCAAATATGATATGAGTACAGGAATGAGCATTGTAAATAATTGATTAGATAGTTGTGTATTTATTATTTATTCATAAGGTTGACTTTTGTTTTGGAGAAAAGTAAAATAAAGAACATGACTGACGTAATTTAAAGCTTCATTAAAGGTGGTAAGTTTGAGAAAGCGGCTCGAGATACACTTTTCTTCAGCTATTCGCGGAGCCAGTGGGGCCCGAACCTTAAAGGGCTGCGCCTATACTCATAGAAGCTGGGTTACAGTACGTAACCCCAGTTATGTTCCATGGAATGCTCTCAACATCCCGATAGCAATGAATGTCTTGAGTGCTTTGACAAAAAATTCATTAAAAAAAATGTCATCTCTGGAAGCCATAGTACTGTAAAAAGCACGACCAATCATCTGAGCCAGCCCGGCTAAAATAACTGGATGGCCAACCTGCCTGTCAGCCTTCCATCTGTGCACAAACTTATCTCGTGCGCGTTTGTGTGTGTTGGAGGAGGGGCTCTGGAAGGAAGTAGCCGATTTCTTCTGGCTGTGTATTTTCAAATTCTAGCCCACTCCAGCTGGATCTCCAAAACTGCCTACCTCACCTTTAAAGGCTCCATGTCATGGCCATTTCTACTGATCATAATTCCATTGTTGAGGTCTACTAGAATATATTTACATTGTTCAATGTTCCAAACTCACATTGGTTTCTCATACAGCATCTCTGTATAGTATGTGTATTCACTCTCTGTCCTACACGGCTTGTTGGAGCTCCTAAAATGAAACATTTTACACATGGATGTTAAGATTGTAAAGGTGGGTTACATGTGCAAGAGAGGAACCCACTTCCTTACCGTGTGGTACAAGGTTGTGTCAGTCCTTTGAAAAAATTACGAGATGAGACCGCATACTCATATCATTTAATTTATTCTTGGACACGTTACCTCACAAAACCATTATTTTTGCACAACAAAGCATTCGTTTTTTCAGACAGATGGGAATGTTTAATATACTTTTCATACACTCATATTTGTAACACAAATCAAAACAACAAAACACAGAATTTCTTTAGTAACACCCACTGTATTCTTTCCAGAGTAGGTAGAGGGAGCAAGAGGGAAGAAAGGGTTGGGGCAACACACAGTAAACATCTCAACTCTAGGTTTGTCTGGTCACTATGGACGCTCAACTTATTCAAAATCTGAGTTTATGCCAATTTGATGCCACTGACTGGGCGTGGTGAAAATAAGTAGTCCACTATATATCCACCCTCAGGTAAATACTAATATGATGTCATTTATAGTTATATGTTGTGATGCTTGCAGGCTTGAATCATCATCTGTGGCAGTATCAATGAAATTAGAACTGTATGAGCTTCACCTACTGATACAGACTGCTCAGACGTCTTTCCTCAGTAGGAAACCTCTTGCTTTAAGTGGCAGATCGATATTACATAGCATATATTTAAAGAAGAAAAGGAGAGAGGGTGCAGCAGTACCACACCCCAATAAATAAGAACTCATTTATGATTTTAAGGATATGTTCATGTTTTTGCAATCAATGGGGTAGACATTACAACCACAGACACTCCATACACAACTTCTGGACACTTACATTACAGAACATCTACAGAAAGGGGGTATTATTTCCCCGGGTACCCTCAGGGTAGGGAAGAGGGGGTGAGATGATTAAGAAGAAGATAAACTGGAGGTGATAAGAACAGTGGAGAAGAGGAGGTGAGGTTTGGGCTGTAGGGTGAGAAGAAAGAAATGAACAGAGGGAGAAGAGGATGGGTGGGGGGGCGCAGGGAACCCTCCGCTGTGCCTCAGTGACGGGCCGCAGACTCCCTGGGGTAAAACTCAGCCAGGGTGCTCTGAGGAATCCTCTTGAGCATCTCCTTGGGGAAGATTCGCAGCAGCTGCCAGCCGATGTCCAGGGTTTCATACACGGTCCTGTTGTCGTACGGGCCTGAGGAACAAGAGCACAACGCTGCTGGTAAGCAAACACAATCTACTGCGGCTTGATAATGCACTCTACTGTCTCTACTGTACATCTCATCCAGCTGAGATGTTCCTGAAAATTGTCCGTGAAGGAAGAGATATCAAAACATTTAGTGTTAAAGCTGCAGGATTAGAATTGTTTCACATCTGGCTGATTTCTATAAGCAGCAGACACAGAGCAACATTGGAGCATATTTCTTTTTTTAATTAAGTCTAATATTTGCTCTACTGGTAGGTCTAGTTTGGTCTCCACCACCTACTGATATCAGGTACTATTTTCCACTTTGTTCGCCAACAGTGTCCGTCTAGCGTGTGCTGAGCAGGAAGTGCAGAATAATTTATTTAAGCAATAAAAACAGCTGCCGGCGACTGCAAGTGAGGTAAATAAGGGCTGAGTTTAAACCAAAATAATGCGGTAAAACAGGCTAAAAATCTCGTCAGAGGTTTAATTGTGGTATCGTGTGTGGGTATCTGAAAGAGTATGATCCTCAGCCAGCAGAACAGCACTAGCAGAGAACGAGACCATATTTCCCCCCCCTCATTTAGTTAAAGTTGCATAAGTGACAAACCAAAAGCTGGCATGCGGTCAACAGTGTTTACAAAACTCTACTTCGATAAAGTCCAGACACACGACAAACTGATGGGCTGGGCGTTGTAGGGATGGGGGGGGGCAGAGGAGGCCGGGAGGAAGGGGTTTTATTTTGTGTGGTGTGTAAAATCTTCTAAATAGATAACAATGTTAAGATTGAGATGTAGACTGTAAGTTATACAGAGAGTAAAGTACCTATTGAAAAAAGTTACTTCAGGGACACATTTAAAGGTCAACCCTAGACTGCTTTCACATTACAAATATTATTTTAAACATTTGTTTATAACAAATAAATAGAAGGTACAATCTGCCTACAAGTGGTTAGAATACTGTCTGATAGGTCACTATGGGTAATCTTATGCTTACTCAAAAATAGAAATATGTGCTCTACAGGTCATGCTGTAGTTCAAAATACTAAGAAATCATAACAAAATAATTCAATTTGTTTTTCAAGGGCAACATACCAAGAGCTTTTATTGTGACCACAGCAACCTCACAAATAGTTTTTGGCATGACAACAATTCTTTATCAAGGACTTTGTATGAGATTTTAAAACCTGCATCTTTTCTCTTCCTTTGTCATGTTCAGGTTACCATCTGTGTAGCAACAACGCCTCAGTAACTTTCATTAGGTGGAATCTGTACAAAGAATGTCTTGTAGTGTTTCACGGTACACCGATACTAGAAAGGTATCGCGATACCCTGCCGTTAAAACCGTTACGATTCCTCCATTTCATTAGTATCGGTACTTTAAGAATGACATTGTTTTAATAAGAGCAGTATTTCCTGTGTGTGTTCAGCGCTCTGCTTCCACTCCCTGCAGCTGTTGTCAGCTCCTCTAAGAGACTGTGTTTGTTGTTTGAGATGATGCTGTTTTCGTTCATCTGGATTCTTGTGTTAAACTTTCCTGTCGGCTCCCAGACTGTAGTCGAGGAAAACAGGGGATGACTCTCTGCAGTCTTCCAGCCAAAGCAACAAACTTCGGGTTCAATAACCCACTTTTCAATAAGGCAGACAGGCGAGCTAGGCCGTTGCATTTATTAAGGTCTTTTTTGTTACAGATCTAACTTTGAAGACACTCGACAGACCTATTTTGCTGCTGCTTCGTTTGCTTCAAAACACATACCACCTCTCGCTCTACCATGCACACACACACGCGCCACACCCCTCTCTCTCTTAAAGGGATAGCGATATGACCCTAATACAGGGGTGGGGGACCTTTATCCTCTCAAGGGCCATTTCAATTTTTACAACATCCTCCGAGGGCCGTACAAATGATTGAACTCAAATGTTTTAGTGTGTTTATAAATTACCTCGAGGGCCATATCAAATGGTCTTGCGGACCGTATACGGCTCGGAGGCCAGAGATTCCCCACCCCTGCCCTTCATCACACTTGTCATTTTACCTTGAATGCCATGTCTTGTTTCAGACATTCACAGTTCCTCAGGAAGAATTTAAATGTGTTGGCGATCATGTGACTAGCACCATCATCCAGTCAAAATAATACTTTTGTTTCCAATGTAAAGTCTCAGTTGTACTTGGTGTTTAGTTGAATACGAAATCATTCCAACATTTATAAAACGTTAATAATGTTGAATACTTTAGAGAAAAGTGTTAGAAATCTAGTGACTATAGTGCAAACTCATTTTAGGTAAAGGTTGTCCGTTAAAGAGAAGGAATGTCCCGGGGGCCACAGTGGCCCCTGTCGGAGTCTTGAAACCAAAGTCCTTATGGTGGTCTAGATGCCCTGCCATCTGCCTTTTGGTTTTTTCCCTGCAGTGATGTGGGACAGAGACACTCAGTCTGTCCTTGTCTCAGTCTGTCCTTGTCTCAGTCTTAACAATTGTCTACTCAAATGCATATTTACTGGTCGGGTTTATTCATTTTTTTTGGCGCATCATTAACAGGTTTGGGCATGCGGATTGGCTCTTGTGATGTTAGGTGGGTGCCGGTATAAAAATAACCCGACCCTCAAATCACTTCCGCCGTGCCTCCCTGACCTGTAAAGTCTGACCTAAAGCCAAAGGTCATGTTTTTATTATAATGAAGCTTTGTCTGACCAACAGAACAAAACAAATTACAAACTCAAATTTGAGAAGCGGGAACCAGAAAATATTCAATATTTTTACTTGAATTATGCCTCGACTGATTTCTTAACTACAGAAATGGTTGGTGATAAACGTTCTGTCAAGTGAATAATCAGCTTATATACAGCGAGTGAGTGAAGGCTGCCTTTGTAAAGAGACAGTGGTTGCCGGGTAACCCTCTTAATACAGGGTATATGCAGGAATCCTGAAGTCAAATTTAATACCTTTTAAGACCCTTTCCATACATTTTAAGACCTCATCGCAACTTGGAGTTCTAACCGGTTACATTGGCGACACACTTTACCTCACATTTACTATATTGATTGTAAGATGCGGAGGCGTGTGGTGCAGTGGATTGTGAGTTGGTATTCGGATTAGGAGGTCACAGGTTCAAACCCCACTGCAGTCAGCATGTCGTTGTGTCCCTGGGCAAGACACTTCACCCCAAATTGCTCCTGTGGGGATTGCCCACAGTATTGAGTATGTAAGTCGCTTTGGATAAAAGCATCTAACAAGTGACATGTGATGTAATGTAATGTAAAGATAGCACAACTAAACAGAGTGCAGACAGACTACTGAAGCCTCCTCTCCACATGAACTTCAACCTCTCTGTGAAGGTCAGGTTTAATGCAGTATGCTGCTTTGTTGCTTCTGTACTCTGTGCTCTTTCATTCCAGTAAAACTCCTCAGAAACCATTAGAAACCAGTATTTGACCAATAAACAAAACAATTGACAAAACTTTGAACTATGAAATATATTAAACGTTGGTGAGCTTCAGCGGGGTAATGCCATATAGGAGCAAATACCACACATAGCATCGTCACATAGGACGATTCATCGTCACATAGGACGATGCTCTGACGTCATCACCCTCACACATTTGTCATATGTTTACAAAAAACGATATATATGTTAAGACTTTTCTCGTTCTTAATATAGACTATATTTAGGGTCGATATGTACTTACTTTAAAATAGCAGATCTCTGTGACCGGATATAGTTTGGCTTAGACCCCGGCCCCACGAGGACGCATACAGTAAAACGCATACGCAAACGCAAAAAAGTCTTCCGTTCACACGATTGATTAACGTGTCCGTTCACACTAGACCGCTGGAAACGCTGTAGTACATATGCCAGGCCTGTAAGTGGCGCTGCTGCCGCCACAAAATACACCAAAAGCAGCGAAGAAGACCTCGGAGCATGGTTGTCATGGTTGCCCTGCTGTTTATTCTCCGCGGTGGACGGCGTGTTCTCCTGCTGTATATCTCTCAGGTAGTCCACCAGCAGATAACACCCCCCCCCCCCCACACAGAGCGGAGCAAGGCAACGAAACTTAAAATAAGAAGCAGCATGTTATGGCACGCTATGCATGGGGCCACCTTGAGGGGGTTTCCCGACATGTTGTTTCAGTAAATTAAAGGGTGTTTCATGTTGTCGTTGCTGTGGACCTTCTTAATACCTTGGAAAATGCCGTTTAATACTTTTTAAAACTTTAATAGCCTTAATTTTCTCTAAATTGATTTATCAACTTTTAATACTTTTTAAGACCCCGCGGACACCCTGTAATATTATATTACTATTTATTATTATCTACTATTTTTATTTATCTACATCAGGGGTCACATCTTTTTTTGTAGTGTATATATTTAGCACATTTTAACATTATGATATGCTGACCTTTAACCTTTGTGTGCCGTTTGGGTCTGTGGGACCCGTTTCCAATGTTTACTAAAATAACATGCATTCAATCTAATTATTTTAATCTGCTTTATTTGGGGGTGGACCTAACCTCCTCTAGGGGGGTCCTCACCTCCTCTTGGGGGGTCCGGGGGCATGCACCCCCAGTAAGATTTGTTTTTAAATATTGAAGTGAAATGCATCAATCTGGTGCACTTTGAGCACAACATGAATTCAGCTCTCAACACTCAGATGAAAGGGAGTCTCTCTCTCTCGCTCCCCCCCTAAGTCAGTCTGTAGTTTGTCAGCACCTTCCTGTGTTTAACATCAGTCACTGTGGTCAGGTAGGCTGCCACAGTGTACTGTCTTTTTAGGGCCAGATACTACTACTACTGTACGACCCCAAGGAGCCTTCAACCTTCTTCTCTGCACGCTGGAACACCTCCACCAACCCGGACCTGGCCTTCGCCATCTGCCGCAGTGACGACCCGAAACCGGAGAGACGCGTCCTGGGCAGGTTCCCCCGCTCACATCACCGACCGGCCATCCTTAAAATTCCAGCACTGGTGCAACCGGTACCAGGGAAACCTGTCAAACGATGGAACTTTCGAAAGGCCAACTGGGAGTAATTTGTTGAGGAGACGGCAAGAAGGTCAGCCAGCCCCAGAGGCAGAAGATGCGGACGCAGCCTACTGCGGCAAAGAAGACCATTCCGCGTGGCTATAACAGGAACTACATCCCGGGTTGGGACGAGGAGTGCAGCCGTCTTCTGTGTGACCACCAGAGGGCTAGCTCCAGAGAAGAGGTGGCCGTGACTGCAACAGCACTGCTCCAGAGGCTGGACGTCACCCGCAGGACCAGATGGACAGAAGTCGTCGAATCAATCGACTTCACCCACTCTAGTCGTAAGGCGTGGCAGACCATCAACCAGCTTACAGTAGTGCTGTAGCGACGCGTCGACGACGACGACGACTTCAAAATATCGTCGACGACATATTTCCTCCGCGTCGACGCGTCGCTACACACACGTGGGTCACCCGAAGCAACAAGCAGTTCGCAATCGCACTTCAAACACAATGGAGACTGAAACGGCTACCACCTCCTCCTCACAGGATTGCGCACGGAAGCCCCCAAACGAAAACATCTCGCCCTAGGTCTTCAAAAGCATGGGAATATTTTAAAGTTAGTCCAAAACGCAAAGATATTTATATATTTATATCTCACTGAGACTGCTGCATAGCCTAGCAGAAGCTAGCTGTGGTGGCTACCATTAGCAGCTAGCATTTGCTCTCCGATTTTTTACATAAAATGGAATTATGGATTATAAATTCAATCATTTTTTTATACATAGACGTTAAAAAACCTATGGATTAACCGATTCAGCCGCGTTTTTTCTCATTTTAATGCCATTGAACACGTCTTTTGATCAGATTGACAGCTACGGTGGTGAGACGATCTCCCTAGAAGCTCTGTGAAGGTACGTGTTGTGATGACTGTATTTGCTTCCCCTGTCGCGAGTCCGGATCACTCAGTGATGATACTATATACCTACATAATCTGTGGAGTCTCAGCTTTAATCGGATATATTGTATGTGCAGCTACGATAAGTAATAAGGGTACTTTTATCTTGAGTTCTGTGCCAATGTCCGTTAGCATTTTTCGCTCAGGGGTCATTTAGATGCTTCTTATGAGACTTGTGTTTTGGTAAACATGGTTTGTATCGTCAGTTAGCTGAGATTATTTCCGTTAATCTGGTATAACACATTAATAGGTTCTTAAAAATATTAAGATCCCCTGAGACACAGTATCGTGAACATTTTTTTGTTTACATTACGTTTTTTTTACATTACGTTTTTTATGAATTGAACAACAGAAAAATAATCGTTAGATTAGTCGACTAATCGATCAAATAATCGCCCGATTAATCGTTTTCAAAATAATCGTTTCCCCCCCAGCACTAGCTTACAGGCAGAAATACAACGCCCCCCAGGTGCCCTGTCACAGCAGATGCCATCGCATCCCCAGCTCCTGAAGACCGGCCGTTTCCCGGACGCAGACAAAGACTTCGCCCGACTGACATCGCGCGAGGTGTCTTCCATCCTGGGAGCGGACAGTGTCGACTCCAACCTCTCGGGAGACTTTACAGCCGATGAAATCAGTGAGGCCATAAGTAAGCTCAAGCCGGGCAAATCTCCGGGCAACATCCACCCGGAGTTCGTCACTCACCAGAGCACAACAACATCTGGCTGGCTTTGTGCATTCTTCTCATCGTGCTACCGGAAGTCAAAGCTCCCAAAGACCTGGCGCCGCGCCTCCGTCATAGTTCTGCCGAAGCCAAATAAACCTGCGGAAGACCCAAAGTCATACAGACCCATCTCACTGCTCTGTGTCCCATTTAAGATTTTGGAGAGGATGATCCATAGCCGCATCGAGCCAGTGGTGGACTCACAGCTTCCATGAGAACAAGCTGGTTTTCGACGTGGAAGGTCAACAGTGGACCAGGTAACGCTACTCTCTCAGGACATCGAAGACAGCTTCCAGGACAATCATGCTGAGACGACCAACTTGGAAGGCAATGGAAGATGGCCTTAACGACGACCTGGGCACCCTGGTAGCATACTTTCAAAGGTCGCGTCTACAGCTCAACATCGGAAAGACAGTTGCAGCGGCATACCATCTTAGCACCAGAGAAGCTAGGAGGGAACTTGAGGTGCGTGTCAACAAACATCTGGAGGTCCAGCAAGCCCCGAAGTACCTTGATGTGCGTCTGGATCGGACACTGTCCTTCAAACACACCTTGAAGAAGTCAGGCCAAGGTAACATCAAGGTCGCGCTGATACGCCGCATCGCTGGAACACCTGGGGAGCCTGCGCTAAGACGCTGCGAATATCGACCCAAGCTCTGGTCTTCTCTGCAGCGGAATACTGCGCCCCAGCCTGGAGCAGAAGCCCTCACGCAAGTAAGGTTGACGTGGTCATCAACAACGCCCTCAGGATTATAACTGAATGCTTGAAGCCTACCCCTGTGTCCCTCTTGCCAGTCCTCGCAGGAATAGCTCCGGCCGGCCTCTGACGGGAGGCTGCCACCCTCGCCCTGGCCAGGAAAGCCCAAAAGCATGACTGGCACATCCTGCATAACACGACAACGAGAGCAGCGCCCCTAAGTAGGCTCAAGTCCCGCCTCCCCTTCAACAAGGCAGCACAAGAGATTCTCAATTCCACCTCTGAGGACCTCTCCAGAGATGCATGGTTTGGCGGCTTGCTGTAAGCAGGAGTGGGAGCTAGCCGGGCCCTCCCGCATCCATCGCTACATCTGGGACCCAGGAGATGGCGCTATAGGAGGAGACGACCTACCACGCCGGCAATGGACCACACTAAACCGCCTACGAACTGGGGTCGGTCGCTTCAAAACATCAATGAAGAAGTGGGGCCTGGCATGCGAGTGCGGTGACCCTGAACAGACTGCCGAACATATAATAACCACCTGCCCTTTATATAGACCACCCTTGGAAGCCAGCCTCTTCGACTTAGGACCAGAGATGCGGGTATGGCTACAGAAAAGAAGAAGAAGAAGAAGAAGAAGAAGAGAGAAGAAAAAAGAAGAAGAAGAAAGAAGAATAAGAAAAGAAGAAGAAAAACGAGAGAA